TATGTATTCAGAGAATTGAAGGAAATATGATGACAAGGAATCTCAACAGAGAAGCAGAAATCACAAATGAGAATTCTGGAGTTGGAAAGTACAGTAACTGAAATAAAAAATTCACTAGATGGGGTCACAAGCTAGTGCAATGTGGCAGAACAAGAGTGAGTGGACTGAAAGAGGCATTAACAGAAATTCTCCAATCTAGTGAACAGAAAGAAAAAATACCAAAGAAAAATGAACAGAACGTTAGATTCTGTTTCGATTCAACTCAAAAACAAAAAACTAGAACTTGAACCTGTGGGTGACTGACATCAAGTTCCCAACATATTTGTGGTGAAAGTCCCAGGAAGAGAGGAGAAAGAGAAAGAACAAATAGTTGAATAAATTATATTCAAAAACTTCCCAAATTTGATAAAAAATATTAATCTACCGATCCAAAAATTTCAATAGATTCCAAGTATGATAAAAATGAAGAGATTCCCCCTAAACACATCAGAGTCAAACTGCTCAAAGCCAAAGATAAAATAAAAATCTTGAAAGCAGCAAGAGAAAAACAATTCATCACAGAAAGGGGAACAGTAGGATTAATAGCTGACTCCTGAGAACGAGCTCGTTCTTGTCAGAGGCCAGAGGGCAGTGGAATGACAGGTTTAAAGTGCTGGGGAGTGGTGGAAAATGGTCAACTAAGAAAGAATTCTACAGTGAGTAAAACTATCCTTCAAAAATGAAGAAAAAAATAAAGACATAGTTCCTAGATACCCAAAAACAGAAAATTTGTTTCAAACAGACCTAGTCTACAGAAAATACTGAAAGACATCCTACAGGCTGAAAGGAAATGGTAACAGAATACAACTCAAATCCACAGGAAGATACGAAGATTACCGAAAATGGTAACTTTCTTTGAAAATATAAGATTCTTTAAAGTAATAATTACAATACTGTATTGTTCCATTTCTTGTCTCCATCAATATTCTTGTCTTATCTATTTTGTCTGATATTAATAAAATCACTTCAGGTCTCTTATGATTACTGTTTGTATGACATCTTTTTCCTTCATTTTGTCTCAAACTCTTTGAATCTAAGGTGTGACTCTGGTAAAAAAAAACATACAACTGGATCTTATATGTATAATACAGATGACAATAATAGTACAAAGGATGGTGAGGAATGAAGATGTATTAGACCAAAGCTGCAATATTTTACCAGAATAAGACACACACACGTGTGTGTGTGCACCCACAAGTAAGCAAGCATGTGCACACAACAGTAAATTATAAGTTGAAGATGTAATCCTTGATTAAGAACTAAGAAAATATAAAAATAACAACATAAATAACTAATTAAAAAATCACAAAGGGATTTAAAAGGTACAATTAAGAATTATTTAACAGAGGGTGCCTGGGTGGCTCAGTTGGTTAAGCCACTGCCTTCGGCTCAGGTCATGATCCTGGAGTCCC